TTGCAATAATTAACTAAGTAGACGTTGATTAATTCTATAAGACAAGGAAGTGACCCTAGAGTCCAATTAGCCAGCTGCAGCTAGGAATGAGGAGCGCAAATTAATTTCTTTGGCCCAGATGCATAAGAACCCTGGACAGGAGGCTGCCTAATCAGCTGTGGAATGGACAAGAGATGGGGACAACAGGTGGGCTGTGGAGTGCTCTCAGGCCAAATCATGTCATACTATATGCATTAGCTGTTGGAGGGTGATAGCAGCCAGCAGGCCACACTGGTCTGGGACAATCAACAAATGAATGGCTTGACTCAATCAAGAAATCTTGTTCAACTTGGGAGGCCGAGAGACCAGGGTGCTGAATGACAGGACTTATAAACAGCAGACTGAGCTGCTAAACAAAGGGTGATTGTATTTGGAGAGAAGAAAGAGAGGACCACATACTTCTTGTCAGTCTTTTTCTAGGATAATTATTCAATGGAGTGAAGCCTCCTTAAGCACTCAGACTTGATGGTTGCTGCATTTTCCATGTGAGACAGTCAGAGGGATTTTAACATCCGTAGATGATTGTTCCCAGTGTATAGTGAAGGAAACATTCATTCAAAATTGTTCAGTAGTAAGGGAGTAATGCAGTAAGGTGTTCTGCATTATTTTCTGTCTACTTGGTGCTAATGGCTCACAGCAGTCAATACATTTTTGCTGAATCAGTAAATGAGTTGAGCATCATTTGGATAAAGCTAAAAAATGATGTGTGGTTTTGTCAAGATCTTGCTTTCCTCTTTGTCACTGGAAACTAGTGTTGGAAACATAGAGAACTAGTCTAATATTTGCTAATGTTGTGAATCTATGTGTTTCCATCTATTTAGCCCTGTTTTCCCAGAGTGATGAAAATAAACATGTTGACAGAAATTAGGAGCACCAAACTGTCCATCTTCACGGCATGTCTGGATCCAGGGTTTCTCTGCTGTAATGAGGCCCCCATAGGCTTATCCAGAACAATTGCCCATCTGTCACCTAGATTGGAGGATAGTCAGTCCTTCAAGATGAGTAGAAATATTTTTTGCTATTATCACTTGACCAGCAGACAGGTTACTTGATGCACTGGACCAAATAAGTTGGCAAGTCATTCATTTCCTAGCTTCCCCATAGCAACTTCCTGAGTACAATGAGGAAAGAAGAGCAGATTTTTAAAAAACTATTTGTGAAATAGCTGGTAATGACAGGACCAGTGTTTAGCACATTTAAAATCGGTATTTCTACATAGTGGCAGGATGAGAGAAACTTTTATGTCAAATATTTTTAACTTCATGATCAAATTGGAACAATATCAAAAGTAATTGTCATCTGAGGTGGTAGAATTCAATTTTCCTTGCATTATGGAGATTTCTCTGAGCAGACCCAGGTTAAACTATTGCTTTGAGGTTGATGACACATTTGATTCCTTGTGCCAACAATGACTTCAGCCTGATGGCAACCTTTACAAATTGCTTCCTGTAAATTCTTTGTGAGAATAACAAGCAATTCATTTTGCTTGAGAGTGACTTTTAGCTAAGGGACTCCACCCAGCAATCTGGATTTAATAAAACAAAATACACTACAGTATTACAAACATATTTTTTGAAATGTAAGTTCCCCACATAAGTTTTTGTAAAAGCAAAGCATTTTCATTTTTTACTCAGCGAGAGCCAGATGGATCCTAATGCATAGCGGGCCAACTATTAGTTTATCTGGTCAGTTGGTGGGGAAGAATGGTAGGGGAGGGAAGGCCAGTGAAGAGCCACACGTGTGTGTGTTCATGTAAGATATTCAAGTTAATATTTACAAAAGTCTTTAAAGCCACAACCAGAACAATGCTTGGTCATTCAACCATTCATTCATTCACTTATTCAGCACACAGTACTTACTGAGCAACAGGAACTGTTGTAGGCTCTGGAGGGTACCATAGTTGAAGAAAACAGACAATACTTCTGCTCTCATGGAACTTATATTCTAGTGAGGGAAGACACAAAATAAGCCAAAAATTACCCAAAGAAAAAAGTTTTTAAAGAAAACTCCATGTTTTTAATGGGCAAGGTACAGGAATTATTTGTTTACAGAAGAGTATTAGGAGAATGTTTGTCTTTGTGACTGGTAGTAGATAAAACCATATTAGTAAATATTTAAGCTTGGATTGTTCAGACACTGTGTATATAATTTATGACCTTGTTCCTGAACTCAGAGAGCTTACAATTCCAATTTGCAAGGTGTTCCTGTACATCATGTAGACAAAAAGGAAAGGAAGAACCAGCAGGTATTTTGTATACTATCTGAATCAGAACTACCTTGCCTTCACAGTCACAGTCAGTATGAAGTAGATTTAAAATCCTTGGGCCTCTTGGAACTTAAATAAGAATTCTGTGACATTGTGTGTCTTCTCCTATTTGGTAAAAAACAAAACAAAACAAAACAAAACCCCCACAATGGCATCACTGGCATGACAAGGAAACTCTGTGTGTGTGTGTGTGTGTGTGTGTGTGTGTGTGTGTGTGTGTGTGTGAAAGAATGTCCAATCCACTTTGCTCATTTTACTGAACTCACTATGATTAAAGGCTTTTAAAAAAGTTTTTATTTAAATTGCTGTTAATGTAGTGTTCTATTAGTTTCAGGTGTACAATATAGTGACTCAGCAATTCCATACATCACCCAGTGCTCATCACAATAAAGGTTTTATGTTGTTGTTTTGTTGTTGTTGTTTGTTTTTTAAAGATTTTATTTATTTATTTGAGAGAGAGAGAATGAGAGAGAGAGAGCACATGAGAGGGGGGAGGGTCAGAGGGAGAAGCAGACTCCCTGCCGAGCAGGGAGCCCGATGCAGGACTTGATCCTGGGACTCCAGGATCATGACCTGAGCCGAAGGCAGTTGCTTAACCAACTGAGCCACCTAGGTGCCCCTGTTGTTGTTTTTAATAAACATAAAAAGAAGGGCCTTGGCCCTTATGAGGTGAAGACCATAAGAACTCTTTAGAACAACACCTCTGAAATTTCTGCTCTAACTTCTAGTCCCACTAATTCTTTCTTCAACTTTCCTCTTTTCAATGTTCTCTGCCAACTGGAATCATAAATCAAAGTTTATGATCATCTCCAGATATACTGGCCACAGACCTCATGAAATCAAAATCACTTTATGCTTCTGCTGTCTTCTGGAGTCCACCAGAACTACAACACTCACCTCCTCAATCTGGTTACTTAAGAAGTAATGTTCTTAAGGACAACCATTCTCATGTCCCCGACCACAGTTGCTTACTGTTCCAAACTATGCCTCCAAGTCTTTTGTCCCTTTCTAAGAACACTTATTCATCTAACAAGCACATGTTTGTGGCTAACATGGGGCAACTGGGGCCTACAAAGATGTTGAAGGTACATAGTTCCTACTTTTATAAAGCTTGTGGTTGAGAAGAGGGCTAACTACAGAGCTCTAAAACAAGGTGGAAATGGGGCAAGCACAATAAGACAGAGACAAATGAAGCACCATATTTGCTTAGAGGAAGCTTCTGGTGAGGGGCCTCAGGATGGCAGCACTGTAGCAAGACTTTAAGGGGCAGGTAGAATTGCACCAGATCAGGGACGAACAAGCAGATGTGAGTTTACTTCTTTATTTTATACTTTTTTCTCTTCTTAGTACATTATGCAATCCTTCTCATTTTTATTTATGTTCTTCAAATGAGGCTTTCCTAATAAAAAATCTTTTTTAATCTCATAAACCTCTCTTTTTAATTTTCTTCCATTAATATTACTTTGAATTTTTAATAAGTTAGCTTTTAATTGGGTATTTAATCAACTTTACAATGAAAGTTAAATAGGAATATCTAAGTAACTACAGCAACATGAACTTTCTTTAAAAAATCTCCTCAAATCTCCATGTTTTCATAAACCCTGAAGACTTTTCCCATTCTACTGCTTGCATAAAAATAATTGTGCAAATTGTTAGAAACCAATATTTATCACTCTGAATTAAACATTTTTTTCTCATCTGCTATTGCTTTCTGTAGTCCTCAACCCATTGTTTACGTTTCTCATATTTATCATTCCTACCAGCAATATAATGTTTTATTGTATCAATGTATCACATTTGACTTGCTGTGTTCTTATTTCCCTATAGATATGTGTTGGATGGCGAGGCCGTTTCTAGTTTGTAGATGTACTAATGAGTATCTCCACACACATCCATCCATATGCCTTTTCTTTCCTTTGAATTACCTTGTCGGTCTGCGATACATTTTCTAGAGTGAAACAAGGTAATATATAATGTATGGCTAAGGGTGTGAGTGCTGGCAGCCCGACTGTGCTTTGTGCTTGAATCCTGGCTCTGCCACTCGCCTTCTGGGAGAACTTGAGCAAATTACTTAACCTCTCTGAGACATAGTTTCTTCATCTAAAAAATAGGAATAAAGTCATACTCATCTCACATGATTAACGGGAGAATTATATGAGATAAAGATACACGTAAACCGTTAGGACTATGCTTCACCCATCATAAATGTTCAATAATGGTAGGGTTTTGTTTGTTTTTTTTAAGATTTTATTTTTAAGTAATCTCTACACCCAATGTGGAGCTTGAACCCACAACCCTGAGATCAAGAGTCACACGCTCTACTGACTGAGCCAGCCAGGTGCCCCTAAATAATGGTAGTTATTAATTAATACATTTCTTGGCATACTGTTTGTTGCATTCTAAAATTCAGCAAATGCCAATTTCCTTGTTTTCATCTACCCAAATTGCTATAATTTGGACAAAGTATTTGATCATTTCTATTAATCATGGAATTACAAGCTCAGGTTGTGAATTTTAAAGATTTAGTCTCTGATTCATGTCAGATATGTTTAAGATGCTTTCCAGAAAAAGAACATTAGCTTACAGAATTATCAGATGCCTCCAAATTTTCATCTTTGTGTATTGTTGTTCTTACTTTTTTGCTACAAGGATCCTACCTTACATTAATTACGTTTGTATTTTTCCATTGTAATAGACGGAGCCCTTGGTTTCAAGTAAAACACCTCAACCGTTTACAAGAAGGAAAGGTAGGGTACAGCCGGATGCTTGTTTCCTCCCTCTTTCTCTGGTATCTGCTCTTCTCTGTGCATGAGTTTCATTTTCCAACCTGGCTACCCCTCCCCCCCAGGAGGAAACCTGGCCCCTGAGAGCTCTCAGGCTTCCTTTGACAGTGACTGCGTGTCATTATCAATTCCACATTCCCAGGAAAGGAGTCTTATTTGCCTGGCTTGGGTCAGTTGCTCACTCCTAAGGCCATCAACTGTGGCCAGGGAGTTTGGCCACATAACTGGTGGTCCCAGTCAGAGTCATTTATCTGGAGGGAAAGGAAAAGCATTAACCCCAAGGTAGGGTGCTAAACAGAAGGGCTCTGGCCAGACCAAATGACAGATTCCATCAACTCAAGTTATTAGAGGGGCTTGATATGTTTCACATATGTTTACTGTTTTTGTGTGAACCTCTTCCTCTTATGTGAAATGTTCATATCTTTGACCATTTGTCATCAGAACATATTTTTCCCTTACATATTTATATCATTACGGGGCGCCTGGGTGGCTCAGTTAAGTGTCCAACTCTTGATTTTGGCTCAGGTCATGATCTCAGGGTTGTGAGATCAAGCCCCATGTTCAGCTCTGTGCTGGGCATGGAGCCTGCTTAAGATTCTCTCTCTCTGGGGAAGAATGAAGGGGAGTAAGTCGGAGGGGGAGACGAACCATTAGAGACGAGGGACTCTGAAAAACAAACTGAGGGTTCTAGAGGGGAGGGGGTGGGGGGATGGGTTAGCCTGGTGATGGGTATTAAAGAGGGCACATTCTGCGTGGAGCACTGGGTGTTATGCACAAACAATGAATCATGGAACACTACATCAAAAACTAATGATGTAATGTATGGTGATTAACATAACAATAAAAAATTATAAAAAAAAGATTCTCTCTCTCGCTCCCTCTGCCCCTCCCCCCCTCTAAAACAAACAAACAAACAAATTTATGTCTTTCCCTAATGGTTTTGGGAATACAACTGTGCAAATACTAAAAAAATTTAGAAAGGCATCAAGATTACTGAAGAACTATGTTTAAGAAGTTGTTCTCAGGGCTATGAAAAGTTCAGAGAGCCACGTTACTGTAAAGAATTTAGTTTCTAATGGGATTGAATATACAAATAAAAAATGAAATAAAAAAGGCTGTACACACGTCGTTCCTCAATTACGGAGACCACGTTCTTAAGAACTCTAAGGCAGAAGGCCCTATGGTTCAAGAACTTAAATCCCTATGACAGAAATCACACTAGGGGAAATGATACTTGGAATAAACCTCTGAAAGCCATTAGAATTACGTTCTCATGTACTAAAATAAATGACTTTTATGCATCTTACCTTTACCATTTCATACTCACTGGCAAGATACCTTTCAGGACCTTTTTCCTGTAGTTTCTTTAAGATATTTACAAATCATTTTGTAGGCTTGTTAAAAAATATCCATAGCGAGAAGAATTCTTTCTGGAGTTGGTCCTCCTCTGAATGTTCAAGGTCTTATTTTATGACTTGGTGGTTTCTATCAGACACACTAATATCCGGTCTCTATTCCTTATACACCAAGGGCTTCCTAACAAGTATCCGTGACTTTGCCTGAGGGCTTCTTCCAGCAGCAGAAGCAGACTTGGTCAGGGACAGGCTAGAAGTGCTGCAGATGTAACACCTCCAGGAGCAAAAGAGAGTTGGTAGAAAAACACACCAGTTCTCACCTCTTAGGTGGCAGGACTAAGGTGGGGGCCATACAGTGTCCCAGAGGTCTCCAGAGGGATTGGGTCCTAGTTGACCATAGCAGTAATGTGTTCATTAACACTTTGTATGACATCTAAACAAAGAGCTTGCCTTAAAATCCTTGATTCAGGTTCTGCTTTTGGGGGGGAACTAAACCCAGGAGGAAGTCTCACTCCCAGCTCCTGGTCTCTGCCTCCTAAAATATCTGAATTCTCAAGAAATGTTGGAGGCATCAGTTTGAACTGATCCCCCCAGCAATACCCAGAGTTTTGCAGTCCTGGATCTGCCCATTTTAACTTCATGCCAGGTACATGCATTTCTCCCCTACTCTCCCCACTGAAACCACAGGAAGTGCTTTCAAAGCCCTGGATTATTACTGCTTGTTTTCCTTGGTCCTGCCCAATCTTTCATTTCAAAAATCTTTTTTTTTAAAGATTTTTTATTTATTTATTTGACACAGAGAGAGACAGAGAGAGCACAAGCAGGGGGAGCAATAGAGGGAGAGAGAGAAGCGGGCTCTCCGCTGAGCGGGTAGCCCGACGCAGGGCTTGATCCCAGGACCTCAAGGTCATGACCTAAGCCAAAGGCAGATGCCTAACCGACCGAGCCATCCAGGCGCCCCTCATTTCAAAAACCTTTGTCTCTGCTTTAGTTCCTCTCTATTTTCAACTTCCATTTCCTTTTCCTAGCTATCCATGGAAGGAGTGATCTGCAATTTACATATTCCAGGACTGAAAGTCTACAGTTGCTGATAAAATATACATCTGTATGTAATAAATAAGAATTATGTCTAAGAAAATGTCATGGTTAGGGAGTTTAAAATGATGTATCAAAAGGAAGTAGAAATACAACCTGAGCAATTAGAGAAGCCTTCACAGAGAAGTTTGGGACCCCTGATCTAGTCTTATCACCCATTTTACAGATGGGGAAACTGAGATCTATAAGGTTAAATTACTGACTCAGAGTCCTACAGCTTATAATTGGTGACCAACCCCCACTTCTCACCCCTCAGTCCCTTCTGTGCTCCACTGCATGCTGCCCACTCACCATTTGTCCAGAGGCAGCCTTGCCTCTGCCTTTGTCTTTTGTTGGCCTTGAAGTTTGCCATGAGGACAAAGCCTGGAAAAGGATGAGAACAAATAGCACATTCTCCTAAGCATTCTCCACAGTGCACAATATCAGTTGTCCTGAGAGGGTTTTGATATGGGCTGAAAATATTGTTTTGTCTTAAATCTTGGAAAAAATTCTCGTTGCATGGAATTTTCTTCTCCAGAATTAATCATGGGTAGCATACTCTTTATCCTTGTTCTTTGACGAAGCAGAAAACAAAATAGCCATTGAAGGCACTCTTTGTTTACACCCAGGGACTAATGACGTTGTGTACTCCTCCCACCAAGCAGCCCTAGAGTACTGGTCTCTCTGAAGAGCACTGAGTGCCCAGAGTGCTGACTAAGCCCATCCCAACCCCAACTTTTGCCAAGGAGACAATTCTCTGACTGTTCTTGAGCTTGGTGATATCAAATATTCTCAACAAGTTCTTCCAATTTCTGTTTTTAAAATAAAAATCAAAAGGCCAGCACATTCCTTTTATGTTTGTGCAAATGAAGCAGAGGCAAGAAGCTGGTGAAACTAGCTAAAGCCTTTTGATATGTAACTTGAGTGATGGCCTACTGAAGTCCTGAAGTATAAATTAAACTGTTTTTATATTTATATATACTATATTTATTATATAGTATAAATATATTTACCTTGTTTCAGATTTCAAGATTGTATTTTTGGTACTTCTATAGACTGTGGAATCAATATTCTAAGAATGAGTGTTACCTCCCGTAACAGTGACTCAGGCATAATTGGGGATCCATTAAAATACAACCTTCTCTTCCCACCCATGCTTTGTTTTAGAGGGGGGTATCATTAGCACAGTTAGTGTTCACTAGAGACAGTGCTAATCACCATGAAGTCATTTCAGGCAACCCAACATCAGCTGAGGGATGCACTGATATGAATATCATGCACACTCTATGGCTCTCATTTTCTGCATTGATTCATGTTTGACTTGGATCTAATCAGGCATGTCTCATAACAGAAAACACTCCTTTTCTGCAAAGATATTTAGGACCTGGACTGTGAACTGCTGCAAGGCATAGATGTAGGATATCCATGTAAGGTCCTCAGCCTGCCTCAGAACGTGCATTGGATGTAGTATGTATGTCTCCAACTAGAAAATGAACACAGTCTCTATTCCATTCCTCCCTCCTAAGATCACGTCTCCCCCGCCCCCCACCAGGGGTCCCTGCTCCTCCTGCAAGGCAATCACTATAGAAAAAAATTAGAGCCTCTAGAAAATCAAGAGTACCTCAGGGAAAAGACAGAAGAAATTCTAGGCAACAGGAACAGCCTGGGGGAACTGTTTCCAGAAGCAAACATCCAGCCAGGGATGGGCCTTGTTTTTGGTAAGCCCCCCCTTGAAAGCAAACATAACAAATATTTTAAAAGAGAGGGAAAAAAAACCCAAAAACTTCTAGGAAAGCACTGTGATCATCTGTCATTCTTATCTTAAGATGGTTTGGTTCAACCAGATTGCTTTCCTTCTTACAAACCAGCTGTACCAGGAAGATGGAATTTTGTTTGCTGGGGAAAGAAAAGTAGGTAATTTTATTTTATTTTAAAGATTTTATTTATTTATTTGAGAGAGAGAGAATGAGAGATAGCACGAGAGGGAAGAGGGTCAGAGGGAGAAGCAGACTCCCCGCAGAGCAGGGAGCCCGATGTGGGACTTGATCCCAGGACTCAAGGATCATGACCTGAGCCAAAGGCAGTCGCTTAACAGACTGAGCCACCCAGGTGCCCGAAAAGTAGATAATTTTAGAGCATGGTGACCTTGGAAGAGGGGCAGGTGTGTGTGTGTGGGGGGGGGCACAGGACACCCTAGGGGAGGTAATAAAAAGGAAGTAAAATAAAAAAACACCCAAAGCAAACATCACTAATTCAACATGTGACCTAAGAAAGATGTTAATTCTCCTCCCTATATTCCTTTCCTTCATCTCCTCTGCCTCCTTATGCTCTCCTTTCTCCTCCCGTTTGAGTTTGAGCCTGTGGTCCTTATTCCCAGAAATTTAAGCCAATATTACTAGTATAAGAATTTAGCAGCATTATTCATTAAATTGGCTTTTCTGGGAGTATGCTATAAACCTAACTGCCATAGTAACGCATAATCATAATATTACTAATGACTAATAACTAATCATTATAATTATAATTCTCCTCTGCCTCCTCCTCATTGTTCTCTAAGCTTCCTTGGGGAATTTTGTGTCAAGTTCCAAATTTTTGTATACTGCAGCCCCCAGGCTGGACAGTGAAAGAATTCAAGGAGAGTGGGAAAACAGACAGGGGCCAGGGTAGCTCAGAGTCAGGTCAAGAGGGTGAGTGGAGTCTGAGATCCAGTCTGTGCTCTGCTGTCCAGGCTGAACATCTCGGCTGATGGCAGCACCTGCAGAGAAGATGGGACATCTTTTCCCCTTTGCACAGAGGTTGTGGGCTGGCCATGGCCCTGAGTTGAGGACAGGCCTACTGCTAATCCCCAGAGTCGGTAACAGCAGGCACGGGAGATGCTACACCTTTTCGGGAGGAGTTCCAAAACCAACATTTGGGAGTGTCGAGGCCAAGTTGAAGAATAAACATTTCAGGGAATGGCGGGGAGGAGAAGCACAGTCAAGCGTTTAGGTTCAAGACTATGACCCCAGCTGAGGGGCTCCCTTCTTGCTGCTCTCAGGCAGTTTTCATTACATTGCAACTCTGGTGTTGTCAAGGTACTCTTTGGCTTGTACCATTAATATTTTACCTAAAACTTTTAGAAATTCAGTTTGGTCAAATGCTGAGTCCTACCTGTACTGAAGGAGCCCTTAGAATTTCCTCTTGATCTCCATCCATATATCTCTTTAATTCTCTTATCTTTAATGACTGAAGTAAAATTTGGTCCTTTAACAAGTAATCAGATTTGCCCGACTCTCGATTTGACCTCAGAACAGCTTTCAGCAAAGCTTGTTAGAAAGTGAGTGAAAGGGTGGCTTGTTGGTTTGGAGCCTCTAAAGGACAATATAGCAGCCACCGTGAGACAAGCCAGCTTTATTTGTGCTGAACCACAGCAGTGTCTCCTGCTCTTCCTTGCTCTCTGTTTGGCACTTCATCTTTATTTAATCTTTAACAAAGCAGAGTCTGTCAGGCAGTCTGTGGTGAGCATAAGGAATCAGCCTCTCCTTCTGGAATGTGGCAGCAGTGAACAGTGCCTAAATATTTATTTCAAATATAATCTATCCTGTAGTCCTCCACATCCAAAGATTTTTCCAGTTTAAATCTGTGGCCCTATAATTCAGAGGGCTTTTGCAATGAGAGGCCCTACGAATGGACTGGTTATGCTCCAGTCCATTGGCAGTGCTCCAGCCACTGCCAACCCGGCAGGAACCACACAGCTGGCCCTCCCAGGGACAGCACAGAGAAGGAAGAGGGCCCTGCTTTGAGCAGGCTCACTGCGTAAGATCGTGCATACTGCTGGGAGGTCCACTGTGGTAGGGATGGCTGTGAATGGAGGTGTGGCAGACAGAATGGACTAGGCTGTCTACAGCAACAAACAGTCCCAAAGTCTCAGTGGCTCAGCATACCAAAAATTGATGGTTTGCTCACACTCAATGTCCAGCACGTGGAGGCAGGGGGATCCAAGCTGAGCAATTCCATCTCAACACATGTTTTATAATTTCCTCAGCAGGGAGAAGAAAATACGGTGCCTCATGTACTGGTTCTTAAAGCCTCTGATTGCAAGTGACACATGTCATTTCTGTTTCTACTTCATTGGGTAAAGTAAGTCATATGTCCACGTCTAATTATAAAAAAGGAAAGGAAGTGCACTCTTACCACATATCCTGAAGAAGAGAATGGGAATACTTGAAACAACCCTAATGACTACTGTGGGGGGTCCAGTTGGAAGGACTCCAGTGCTACCTTTATATTCTAGGAGCTCTCAGCTAGATCAGGAAGAACTATTTACATATTCATATGTCTGATATTCATATGTCTCTTACAAGTCAAGTGTCTTATTTCCAGAGGTAGGTCTTAATAGGCAATTATCTAGAGAGAAAAGCAGTAAGTCCTAATTCTTCCAAGCAGATTCACTATATTTTCATCTTTAAAATAAAGAATTGCAGGAGCACCTGGGTGGCTCAGTCGTTAAGCGTCTCCCTTCGGCTCAGGTCATGATCCCAGGGTCCTGGGATCGGGACTCACGTCAGGCTCCCTACTCGGCTGGAAGCCTGCTTCTTCCTCTCCCACTCCCCCTGCTTGTGTTCCTCTCTCGCTGTCTCTCTTGCTGTCAAATAAATAAATAAAATCTTTTTAAAAAATTAAAAATAAAATAAAATAAAGAATTCCATAAAATACAAATATCATTATTGAGACCTAGCTTAAGGGAGTGACTAATTCTCCTGGCTTCAGAAATAAAACATGCCTCCAGGTAGTGGACACTAATTATCTGAAGAACCCACTCTTTCTGAGTATTGTCCTTCCTTTCTACATTTGAGTCACATAGTGGAAGTGGTGGGAATCTGACAACCATCATGTTCAATGTGAACCTCTCTCTAACACAGAGCATATTGGATCAGAGTAGACTTCTGACCAAAGCTGGGCCAGAGTTTCTTCTCTAGCAATTTAGAGTGTGGACTAAAAGAAACTCTGAGGAAACAGGAATTTGACTAATTGGTTTCAGTTGTCTGTTGACTAGAGATGTAACTGACACCATTAGCGCTCACTAACTATCCAAAGGCTCCCCTCCATTTCCTGGTTTCCTGAACAGTTAGAATGGAGCCATGTGACAAAGTTCTGGCCAATGGAAGACAGACAGAAATAACAAGCCACATTTAGGGTTGGCTGTTGAAAATACCCCCCATATTCCTCCACTTTCTTTTCCCCACCACAGTGCCCTTGGAGGTCACATGATTAGATGGCATAGCTATAAGATGGAGAGGGGCTATCCATTGCATAGAAAATTGTGACACGAGTAAGGAAAAAAAAATATGGATTAGGATGTATTTTTTGCTTCAACATATCCTAGACTATACTGACTAACATAGAACCAATAGAGGAGTGGCTTTGTTCTGCCAAGTATCTAAGAAAAGCTGATCTGCAAAGAGGGAGAAAAATGACGTACATGTGCAGAGGTAGGCAGAATTGAGAAAAAGAGTCCCTGGGTCCTAATTCCTGGTTCTAATCCCTTCTTAAGGGTAAGTCACATTTCTGTCCTTGGCTTCTGTGATGCCCTTGTATCCTTATTATAGTAAATGTCCTGTTTTTTATTAAGCTTGTTCCAGAGTTTCTTTCTTTTGCAACCAAAAAGTTATAACCTTATAACCTTTATAACTTTCAATACCTCTCATATCTCAGTGCTCAGCATGAGATTACTCATTATTCAGCATGAAAACAACTAACAAATTAATAGGTATGATGCTGACTTAGATTTTTAATTCCTTCATGCAGGAATGCCAAGAACAACAGCAAAATCTTGTCCAGACGTAATTCCATAGTACAGTCGGTGCTTCTAACACAATTCCAGAATAACAGATCTTGTTTACTTACCCAAAATTCAAATAAAGGTGGATAATCTTTTCAGTTTTATTGGTTATAAATCACCAGCTGACAAGTTACTCAACTTCTGCAATTGTAGTAAAATTCTAGAGCTATCAAGAAAAGGTGGCTAGTTCAAGAACAACTAAGGAATTGATTCACTCTTCAGAACTGTGCCAAATTCCTTTCTGTGGGCGAGCTAAATAGTGGATACCTTTTATAGAAGGAAAGCCATCATCCTATGAAGAAAACCTCTTTCTCTGCCATGAACAAGCTGAATGCAATCACAGAAACTGCAGACAAAAGAGCTTTTGATGACAGATATTGCTGATGCCTGGTGCCTTCAAAGGCATTCCAGGAAAGGTGAAGGAATAATTGTGACTAACAATAACTCATGCTTCTTCCAGGATGTTACTCATTGGGCCAATGGATCACTTGAGAAAGATGTCAGTGAGTCAGCTCATACTCAATTTGGCAAAAAGATTCCAGGTCCCTAAGCTCTTTGCATTGAATGGAGTAAATGCCAAATGGATACATTCTTTGGGACAAGTAAAGGCAGGAGAGCTTTGATAGTAAAAAGCAGTTTGCTCCTTTAGTATCCCCATGCACCACCCCAAGCCATATATCTGAGCAAAATGAAATTATCAAGGGCAATGAAGAAAATCTTGAGTACACCCCTCAAAAAGATAAAGGACCCAGGGGAAGGAGAAAGGCGGAAACACCAGTAGAAAGTCTAATAATTCACCAAACATTTAAAACAACATGAACTTATAAGTATTGCAACTTATATATGAGGATATATCAAAGGCCAGTTAAAATAATAATGGTTACAAACAAAAAGGAGGTTGGACCAGACGGTCTAAGGTCTTTTATTTAAAATTCCATGACTATGTGGAATTTTGTAGGTCAAGGACCAAATGTAGCCACTGATTAAATTCATCCTATGATAATGGCACTGACATTCATTATATATATTTTTTTACTGTGTCATGCATTCATAAGAGTTTATTAAAATATACAATTTAATTGTATGAATGAAACTCAATACTCATGTACTGACTGCCTGGCCTAGTCTAAGAATAAAATATTAACAATACTTCATAGGCCCCCTGAGCCTACCGTAGTTGCATCTTCCTCCACTTACTCCTCCTCAATGGCCACCCAGACGTTACTACCAATTCACACTCTTATGTTAATCATTCCCAGCTTTCTTTATGGTTTTACCACCTACGACTCTATGCCCCACACAATGTATTGTTTAGTTTTGAAAATTTGGTAGTTGCATAAAGAAGATCAGAGTTACGCTATTAATTGAAAACTCAGGGATGAATGCAGCATTATCCCTTAGTGTCAGCTCCCCTGAGAGTTTACAAGAGTGCTTTCTGGGGAAGTCAGTAAGCAGGTTGGAAACTAGTCCTAGCAGAAACAAGGCTCTGCACAGTCAGAGCATGTGGCAAGGCTGCCAGGTGAGCCTGATACTGATGTTGGGCAGAACTATGTCAGAGGATATGGGATGCTCTCTATTTTCTATCTTACCTCCAGCTCTCAGATACAGGGTTAAGCAGAAAGTTTGGTGAGATGAAATGAGTATCCTTAGGTGATCCAGGTAGCAAGGCATGGAAAAGAGAGCAGGAATTTTATCAACAAATGGTCATAACACAGATTAGAATCTAAGCAAGGTTCATTCAAGCATTCTATCTTGAGGTTGGAGAAGAGGGTAAAATAACAGTGGAAACTTGGCTATAGCAGCCACCAACATATCTGTCTCTTGAGTCTCATGTTTCTCTCTGGGATAGTTGTCCTCTATATCGATGGATAGCTGTCCTGGAATCTCCCTTCACTCTCTTCATGAGAATTCCCCTTGCCTTACTCCTGAGTTGGATCATCTGTTTCTTATATCCTGGACTGGAACACATAATTTGTGGGGCCCAGTGAAAAGTGAAAATGCAGAGTCCCTTGTTAAAAAATTATTAAGAATTTCAAGATGGTGACAACAGAGCATCAGACAAGTATGGGACCCTTCTATGTCTGGGGCCTGTGCAACAGCATAGGTTGATGCCAGCAATACCAGCCCTGCCTATATGCTATGTTTCCTCTTCCCTAATTTACTCTCTTATTCTTTTTTTTTTAAAGATTTTATTAATTTATTTGAGATAGAGAGAATGAGAGATAGAGAGCACGAGAGGGAAGAGGGTCAGAGGGAGAAACAGACTCCCTGCCGAGCAGGGAGCCTGATGCGGAACTCGATCCCGGGACTCCAGGATCATGACCTGAGCTGAAGGCAGTCGCTTAACCGACTGAGCCACCCAGACGCCCCTACTCTCTTATTCCAGGAGAGCACATTGCCCGGTAGTCTTTTTCTATGAATGTATGGGAAATAAGCTTTTGAGACTTGCACATCTGAAAATGTCTTTGCTCTCTCTTCATACTTGAATGTAAGCCACTTTATTATACAACACTGTAATCTGAATGTTGCTCCCTGGAGTTGTGTAATACAGCAGCCCTGCTTGACTAATGTTTGGCTGGGTATAAAATTCTAGATTGGAAACAATTTTCCTTCAGAACTTTAAAAATATTGTTCCTTTGTCTTATTTATAGTGTCACCGTGGAGAGGTCTGGAGTTATTTGGATTCTTAATTCCCTTTATGGTACCTGTTTATTCCTCTCTAGAAGTTTATATAAATTCTCTTTGCCCCAGAGTTCTGAAATTTTATGGTGTGCCATTGTGAGTGTCTCTTTTCATTCACTGTGCTTGGGCTCTATAGACCCTTTTGATCTGACAACTCACATTCTTCATTCGTGAGAAATTTTCTTAAATTATTTCATTGGATGATTTTCTCTGCTCCATTTATGTTGTTCTCTCTTTCTGGAGCTTTTATTATTTGGATGGTGAGCCTTCTAGAAAAGAACTCTCACTCTCTTACTCTTTCCTCTTTGTCTACTCTGTTCTAGTCTCTGAGAAAATCCTTACTCTGACATTCTGGCCATTCTGTTTTTTTATTTCATGATTATGTCTTTAATTTCTAAGAGCTCTTTTTATTCTCTAAATGTTCCTTTCTTGGGAAGCCTGGGTGCTGCATTCAGTTAGGTGTCTGCCTTTGGCTCAGGTCATGATCTCGGGGTCCTGGGATCAAGCCCCTCTTCCTCTGCCTGCTGCTCCCCCAGCTTGTGCTCTCTCTGTGTGTGTGTCAAATAAATAAATAGAATCTTTTTTAAAAATGTTCCTCTCTTAT